TGTTTGTCACTTCCCCGTGGAATTTTCCTGTGTACTACAAGAAACCCCTATAACTAAAAATAAAACTATAAAATACTTACTTTTTCATTTTTTTTGAGTTGTATTTGACTTGGTAAGCTGCTTGGATTAATTTGTCTGGACCTCCATCAAACTGATGTGGAATGACCTTCTGAAAGTGCTAAGAAAACAATAAAAGAAAAACATAAGAACTACTTAGTGCTGTTCATTATTAACTAATTATTAGCGAAATCTAAAGACATTCAAGCAATGATAAACTGACTTACCTGTAACATCCCTTCCATGTCAAGTTGCATTAGTTCTGCCTGATTCATTTGAAGAAGCGCTAATCCTACTCGAAACACTATTTCTAAACCCTGAGAAAACAAAGTAGATAAGGCCAAATTTGTCTTACTCTTCCATCAACAAAAACTAATCATTCAAAATAATACTAAGGTAAACATTTAGGGATCTAAACTAGGAGCTGGCAAACATTTTCTGTAGAACCAAATAGCAGTATTTAGGCCTGGTGGGCCATTATGGTCTCTGTCATAATTACTTAACTCTGCCATTGTAGCCCCAAAGCAGACCTAGACAACATAGAAACAAATGGGAAGGGGTGTGTTCCAAGAAAACTTTATTTATAAAAACAGGTGGAAGGACAGATTTGGCAGGCAAACCAGGACAGATTGGTACATGAATCACAGTTTGCCAACTCTTATCTAAACTAATTTAGATAAGTAATACAAATTCATCTTTCCAAGATGTAATTGTAGTAACAATTAACACTGGGTTCAGAGAATAGAAGGATCACTACTGCATGTCACTGACAATCAAAAGGACAACAATCTGCAATGTGTTCACAGAATAGAAGAAACATCATTAACTTAATTATACTAATTATTGCTTCTTACTCTTTGGATAACAGATGCATTGCTACAATGTTAACTGTAAGGCAAATTTTACCTCTCACTAACTGATGAAGAGGTTTTTCTTTTTTTTTTAAGAAACACAGTCTCACTCTGCTGCCCAGGCTGGAAGACAGTGGTGTGATCGCAGCTCACTGCTCTCGAGCCTCATGCCTCAGCCACCCAAATAGCTGGGACATAAGGTGTGCACCACCATGCCCATGCCCAGTTAATGCTTTCTTTTTTTTTTTTTTTTAAGAGATGGGGTCTCACTATGTTGCCCAGCCTGGTCTCAAACTCCTGGCCTCAAGCAATCCTCCCACCTCAGCCTCCCACCTTGGCCTCCCAAAGTGCTGGGATTACAGGTGTGAGCCACAACACCTGGTCTGATAAAGAGGTATGATTAAGAGTGTGGGCTCCAGAATTTGAATGTCTACACTTCAATCCTAGTTACTACACCACTTGTGTGCTGCGTATCCACAGATAAGCTACTAACCTTTCTCTAACTCTCAGCTTCCTCATCTATCATCTAACAAATGGGGATAATAACAGTATCTACCTGATATGGTTACTATAAGGTTTAAATGAAATGATACATGTAAGCAATTTAGCACAGGACACATGGGTCTGCCATACTGCTCTCCACATTGCCCTGCTCTAATAAACTCAATGATTCCTTTGCCTGCTTCTTGCTCTTAGTCTGTCCATTAGCTCTGAAGTCCCCAACCCCTGGGCTGCGGCCTGTTAGGAATAGAGCCCTAAGCTCCCCCTCCCACCTCACTGGTCCATGAAAAACTTAGGAACCAGGGGACCACACATCAGGTGGTGAATGGCAGGCAAGTAAGCAAAGCTTCATCTATATTTACAGCCACTCTGCTCCCCATCACTTGCATCACCACCTGAGCTCCTCCACCTACCCAACCCCCACCCTGCACCATCCATGGAAAAATTGTCTTCCATGAAACTGATCCCTGGTGCCAAAAAGGTTGGGGACACTGCTAGCTTACCTCAGACATAAAGATATCAAATATCCTTGTTGCAATTGGTAGTGGAAAAGTTGTAAGAAAGATAGTCAGAAACCAGGATGATGCATACATTGAAGTATGAAAACTCTGAGATTGAAAATGTACAAAAAGCTCTGGAAGATGCTCCTAAAGAGAAGAAAATTTGTTAAAACATAGCAAAATTGAGTATTTTAAATCACGTCATTGAACACATACTAGATTAGCCTATACCAAACATAAAGACAAGATTAAGCATCATATGGACAAGCTAAGATGTAGAAAGTGACGCATTCAAGACAGTGGATACTATGTAGGAAGGGAAGAAGGGGAAAGAACATGGAGTGGGAATTTTGGCATATTAAAACATTTACTTTATTAATACAAAGAAACAAATAAAACTTTTATATTTTGTTTAATCTTATTGGTGCACACATAGGTGTCTGATATTTTCTATACTTTTCTATCAACTATTTCAAAAAAAAACTTCTAAAAATAAAAGAAATGCTATGCTAAAATACTTTCAGGCACTATCTGCCATTAATCACCTATTCTTGCCTTCCCAAGAAATAGGAAAAACCCAAAATATAGATGCTTTAGCAACTGTAGTAATTCAAAACATAAATGATATGTTAACTGAAAACATAACATCAAGAGAGTTTAAGGTTGGTAAAAACAAGCTTACTATTTCAGGAAAAAATTTAAGAACCATCTCAGGATCTATTTGGGTTTTTTCTTTAAAATATAAAACCAAAACAAAATCACTATGTACTCCAAAAATATGTTGATTATTATGTCAATTTAAAAAAATAAAATAAATAAAGATAACTGATGTGGAATGACCTTCTGAAAGTGCTAAGA